CCCATATTTATATATTTTTCCCATATTTATATATTTTTCCCATATTTATATATTTTTCCCATATTTATATATTTTTCCCATATTTATATTTTTCTCATATTTATATTTTTCCCATATTTATATATTTTTCCCATATTTATATTTTTCCCATATTTATATATTTTTCCCATATTTATATTTTTTCCTATATTTATATATTTTTCCCATATTTATATTTTTTCCCATATTTATATTTTTTCCCATATTTATATATTTTTCCTATATTTATAATCCAATTTTTGGCTGAGCTCTGACTATTTCATTCATTCTGACTTGGAAAATATTGAACACTACCATTTTCAGCTGCTAGAGGGCGCTCAAGTAATATGGCAAGCCAAGTGTCTCATTAATAGGTAAAAGGGGTTATTAATGAGCCACTTGGCTTGCCATACCAAGCCACCTTCATCTCTGGAACTCCTGGAGCAAACATCAGACCAACTGCATTTCACTGTGCAGGTGAAACGCAGCTGGTTTCACCGTCAAAGTGCATTTATTAAGGAAAAGTTAAACTGAGACACACCTTTGCTATAATGTCGAGCAAACAAATAATTGTTTTTAAGTGTTAATCTTGTTAAATTCTTGTTAAAGTCCTCCTGTGCACGCTCCATGGCCGCCATTTGGCAGCCAATCAATTTTTGGCACAACACCGGCCCACGTTTCCAGGTGGTCAGTGGTGACGCGTGCAACATATACGGCTGTGCGACGTGTACGGTACCAGCTGCAGTCGATCGTTGCCACAAACTAGAAGTCAATAAACCTTGTCCTTGTTACATTACAACTTTATTTATAAAGCATTTATAACAGTAAAAACAATAAAACAAATAAGTTAAAAACGGTAAAACCAACATGTCAAGCTGAGTTAAAAGTCAAAGAGAGAAAAACGTCTTCAGAGCAGGTGTAAAAACAGGAAGTGATGTCAGATTCAGAGCAGCTTTAAAAACAGGAAGTGACGTTGGATTCAGAGCAGATTTAAAAACAGGAAGTGATGTCTGATTCAGAGCAGCTTTAAAAACAGGAAGTGATGTCAGAGGCAGGTGGTTCCACAGTGAGTGAGAGCGCTCGGTCTCCTCTCAGCTGATCTGACCTGAGAGAGCGTGAGGGAACAGCTGGAGCAGGTCGGACCGAGGCTGTGAGACCATGAAGACATTTGAAATCAAAGAACCTTAAAATTAAATAGTTGAGACATTCAAGAACCTTCTTACTAAAAGGTTTACGTATTAAAATAATTTAGTTGAACATTCTGACCTGGTGTGGATTAGAGAAAACCCACATGTTCCTTCATTTCATCCTGTTAAAGGAACGGTTCAGATCAATCATTAAAACCAAATTTAATTGGACTTTGGTGCTCGTGATGGGTGCACGCACGCCTCTGACCACATGTAAACGTGGATCATGTTGAAAGTGTTGCGGCGTGTTTCAGCGGGACAGGTCGCCTCTTCGAGCCGGCGTGGGGGATGGCGGCCAGCGCTGTGGCTTTTGTCACTCTGGGGAGGAGGAAAACGAAACGAGAGGTGTGCTGCACACGGATAACTCCAAGAAAGTGGCTGCACACTACAAGTGCATGGTAGGGTTGTTGAGCCTGAGTTGAACACGTTTAAAGTACCAGCAGCTGCGTTTCTCAGTCCTCTCCTCTCCAGCTCTTCTCATCGGGGACGGTGCAGCTGACCACGACGTCACGGGCCGAGTTCGGAAACTTTGACGTGAAAACGGTCATCCAGGAGATCAAGAGGGGCAAACGAATGGTGGGGAGAATAAAAACTCTAGTCCGGTGTTTGAGTCTTTACTTCACTGGTTTAATTGGTGTTCCTGTTGTTGTTGTCCTGCAGAAGTGCACGCTGTGCAGCCAGCTGGGTGCCACGATTGGCTGTGAAATTAAGGCGTGTGTGAAGACCTACCACTATCACTGTGGTCTGCAGGACAAGGCCAAGTACATCGAGAACATGGCCCGCGGCATCTACAAGTGAGTACGGACGCACCGATCCACCTGTTTCTTTACTCCCGATCCCTAAATCTGAGTATCGACCGATACCGATCCAGTTCCAATATCATGATCATCATTGATTTTATATGAGGCTGTAATAATCTGCTCTCAAGTACAATTTGTACAAATATATGCATGCATGTCCAAAAAGACAACTTGAGGTAAGTTTTATTAATGTTGGACAAGTTTTAAAGTTAGAATTAAATTCTGTTAACACAAAACATGATTATTTTTATTCCTAGTTTTAAAGTGGATATTAAAGTGATTAATTTAAGTGATTGTTTAAAGTTATTTTATATTTTTTTAAATAAGGGGCAGATATAATAATTTTTTTCCTCTTTCTGCACTCTTTTCATTCAATGTTTTCTTTTGATGAATTTGTTTTTACATTTTGTTTCTTTTAAATGAATGAATAAATGAATTAAAATAAAATGTTAAATGACTTTAAACACCTGTCATAAACCAACAGACATGTTCCTGTTTTTAGTATTTTACATAACTTAATAATTGACTGTTTTTTCAATATATATATAAGTTTCTTGTAATTTTCAATTCCTTTTTCTGATTGTCTACTGTTGTACTGATAGATATCTGCTGCAGGGTAAACTCTTGGCTGCAGCTGCCAATCCTTCGTTTTCTACAACTGATAGTGGTTGGTCATTAATTATGATGAAGTTTAGCAACTTCTCTGTAAACATTTGAGCTCGGTGGTTTCAGCGATGTCTTCTTCTTTTATCCAAAGGACTTCTTCAGTCTGAGGATCTGCAACAGACTCACTCTTATAAATATCACCTTCTCATAGTGGGTCAAGCAGTTTGCTGGTGACATCCAGAACCAGCTGTTCACATGATCAAGGAGGACCATCAGTCTAACAGTTGATCGTTAGTGCTCTAACAACGAGCAGCTAGTTCTGGATGTCACTACGACACTGGTAGGTCCACTATGAGAAGGTGATATTTAGAAGAGTGAGTTTGTTGCAGCTCCTCAGACTGAAGAAGTCCTTTGGATAAAGATGAAACGTTTCAACAAAGAACACCACGTCCAGAGGAGCTGACTCAGCCTTGTTGGATTTATCTACCTTGGATTATTGAGCAGCATGAGATCTACGGTAGTTTTAAGGCTTTATAAACCCTTCATCTGCTCTTAAACACTTCAGAGATGAAAATGATGACGAGATGAATGTACAGTACTGCACAGCTTGTACAGAACACAAAATAAAAAAACAGGTTTAAAAAAAACCCACAATAAAATCAAGCCACAAGAAGTGAACTACAATTTATTTATTTATGCATGTATGTATGGATGGATGGATGTATGTATGTATGGATGTATGGATGTATGGATGTATGTATGTATGTATGTATGTATGGATGGATGGATGTATGGATGGATGTATGTATGGATGGATGTATGGATGGATGTATGTATGTATGTATGGATGGATGGATGTATGTA